AAAACTGAGCCCTGGAGGCTTGTGACTGGCTGCCACTGGATTTAACTCCATTGACCACAACTCTCTGGGCTCACCCATCCAGCCAGTTTTTTACCTCGTGTAAAGGGATTACTACAGAACTTAAAAATGAACAAAACACCCTCCCCTGCTCTCCCTTGCAGTAGGAATGCAGAAATATCAGAGCAGATCACTTCTTACGGGACTTTTGTCTTCCTTCTTTAGCGTCGTCCTTCCCCAGAGTGCGTTGACGCCGTCCACTGCCACAAGAAGTCGGAATGAGCCGAGGTGACACTGCTGCTTTATCTCTTTCAGCACAACCCCTACAGCATCACTGGCATTTCTCACACGAGCTAAACCCTTAAAGTAGGAAAAGGCACATAGCTCAGGTTGGTTTCGGAGTTAATGTATAACGCTGGCAACTCTGGGCACTGTCTGTTCTTTCTAAAGGGGGAGGAAGATAAAATGACAGCAGTTCGTTCCTTGCAAAGGAACAATCTGGTCTCAGGTACTGAGCATCATACTTGGAACTTGCAAATTCTAATTTTTGCTTCTACTCAAGTTGTCTATAAAGCTTCCTTTACAGATCCATCACATCTTCCACAATGCATTTTGTAGCCACCTCATTGATGGGGAAATGTCTTCCATTTCCTAAAACTGGTATAGAACCATCGAATCACAGAATGGTTTGGGTGGGAAGGGACCCCCAGAGGTCACCCAGCCCAACCCCCCCGCAGGAGCAGGGACACCTTGAACCACATCAGGTTGCTCACAGCCCTGGCCAACCTGGCCTGGAATGGTCCCAGGGATGGGGCCTCCACCCCCTCTCGGGGCAACCCCTGCCAGGGTTTCACCACCCTCACTGCAAAGAATTTCTTCCTTAGATCCAGTCTAAACCCACCCTGCTTCAGTTTAAAGCCATCCCCCCTTGTCCTGTCACAGCTGGCCCTACTAAAAAGCTTGTCCCCCCCTTTCCTCTGGGCCCCCTTGAAGCCCTGACCGGCCGCACTCAGCTCTGCCCGCAGCCTTCTCTTCTCCAGGCTGAACACCCCCAACTCTCCCAGCCTGGCCTCCTAGCAGAGGGGCTCCAGCCCTCGGAGCATTTTAGTAGCCCCTCGGATCATTTTAGTAGCCCTCCTCTGGCCCTGCTCCAACAGGTCCATGTCCTCCTTGTGCTGAGGGCTCCAGAGCTGGACGCAGGGCTCCAGGGGAGGTCTCCCCAGAGCAGAGCAGAGGGGCACAATCCCCTCCCTGGTATTTGTAGGATCTTTAGAAGCAATTTGTTCTGGGTACACAATGATGGGCTCTTCTAATAAAAGGTAAGACAGAGCCAGAAGCTCTTGTTGTTCCTTACCTGCTCCACCACTTCACCCAATGGTCTGCCCTCCTCCGTGCTTTCCCGTTTGCCCCACACGTATTTTTTTTGTGTTTTTATCTGCAGTAAGAGAACTACAATTAAACTAGGAACTAAGTAGTGTAAAGGCAAGTCTGGATGGCAAGATTCCTGGTTCTCTGCCAGTGTTAAAGACTAGTGCAGAACCTGGGAGCAGCATTCATCGCAAACTGTCATCCCCACAGGGGGGATTTAAAGTACTTCTTTTTCTACAAAAGTTGAACTCCAGTGAAGGGTAGGGCCTGCAGGTTTGTACACAGGACGAGCGCATGCATTAGTACATTAAGCATTTCTCAAAAATTATCAGATCTAGAATGCGTGTCAAGGTGCTTGATGACAGAAAGCCTATGTACATAGAATCATAGAATGTTTTGGGTTGGAAGGGACCCCCAGAGGTCACCCAGCCCAACCCCCCTGCAGGAGCAGGGACACCTTGAACCACATCAGGTTGCTCACAGCCCCGGCCAACCTGGCCTGGAATGGTCCCAGGGATGGGGCCTCCACCCCCTCTCGGGGCAACCCCTGCCAGGGTTTCACCACCCTCACTGGAAAGAATTTCTTCCTTAGATCCAGTCTAACCCTCCCCTGCTTCAGTTTAAAGCCATCCCCCCTTGTCCTGTCACATGCAGCCCCTGAGGTGATCCTGGGGGTAGTTCTTAGTGAAACAACCTGACAGCTCTACAAACCTCTTTTAGGAAGTGCTCATTTGAGGTTTTGAAGTTCTTGAGCCAGGAAGATGCTTGCAAAGGCTGATCAAGCCGTTCTTTGTTGTAGGAAGACTGCATAAGCTCCCTGCAGTTTTTCACCCAGAGATGAGCTGTAAGCAAAAGAAAACAGTTGCTTTCTTTTTTTAAAAGTCAAAATAATGGTACGAGTTAGATGGTGGGGGGTCTGTTTGTATCCTTATCCTGCTACGCTGGTAAGAATAGTCTGCCGTCCTTAATGGACAAGGCTCTCCCTCGAGAACAGAAGAGGTCACACAGACCCACGCACAGTGCGTCTCCTGTCACACTCGTGGGGAAAAAAAGACTGACTATAAGCATGTGAGAGCATGTGAAAATAACGAATTCTGTTCATTTTGGGGGTCTGTGTTTTATAAGCCTTCTCCACTATGGAAAAAAACACCACAATAATTTGCTGTGGCCTACTCTACCCCTTCCATGTGAAGGAGCACCTTCCGGATCAGCAGTGTATTTGATGCAGTAACACAGACAGCGCCGGTGTTCTTACCATCTGGGATGTGCAGCACCAGCCAGCCTTGCCGTGCACAGTAGTGAACCACGTGACACAGTGTCATGGTTTTCCCCGTTCCTTTTTCACCATCTCCAACATTGACTGTTAAGGAAAGTCTCCAAAAAACCTCTTCAGTTTATTCTTAACTGATTCTTTCACAAAGAATCAGTTTGTATCAGGAGTGGTGCAGCCAGCAGGAGCAGGGCAGGGAGCGTGCCCCTGTGCTGGGCACTGGGGGGGCCGCCCCTCGAGTGCTGGGGTCAGGGTTGGGCCCCTCCCTCCCCGAAGGACCTGGGGGGGCTGGAGCGTGTCCAGAGAAGGGCAGCGGAGCTGGGGAGGGGTCTGGAG